GAGGGACCAGCGGCGCCCTGCTCGTCTGGATCGGTCGCGACCCGCAGATGGGTCATGGCGACTGCCTGCGATTGACCGGGCTGGGCATTGTTAGTTGGGGTGGTCGTTGGGAACGTGAGAAGGATGGTGGTGGCCTCGTCGGCACCCGTCAGGTGGTAGAGAGACATGTGCGCGGAGATGGCCGAAGGAGCTTTGCGCTGCTCCCGGGGAAGAGTGTGGTACATGGTCTGGAAGACCCAGGTCAAGGAGTAGATGCCCACTGCAGCGAAACGATCATTAGCACCGTGCCAAATGGCTCAGGAGTCGGTAGAAGGAAGAGGAAGCTTACGATCCAGCAAGCAGCCACCAGCGAGATCCTTGTTCACCATCCGATGCTGAGTGCCCCATCGCTCCTCGACATTATCCCCGAAGCTGTTGTCGGCAACCACCCGGAGAACTTCGCCAATGGCTCCCTGCTTGATGAGGTCTCGGACCTGCACACTGAGAGGGAAGTACCGGGTCCACACGGCCTCCATCAGGAAAAGGTTCTTCTTCTTCGCCGTCTCGCACAGGATCTTGGCCTGCGCCGCATTGACGGTGAAAGCTTTCTCACAGAGAACATTCTTGCCCGCTTCCAGTGCAAGCATCACATTCTGGAAATGGTGCGAGTGCGGCGTCGCGACGTACACCACGTCCACGTTAGCATCGGCCACGAGCTCTTCGTACGAGCCGTACGCAGCACAAGGTGCCGGGATGCCCGTATCGGCAATGAACTTCTCCGCCCGGTCCTTGGCTGAAGAGGAGGCAACGGCAACGACGGTGTGAGAGACGTCAGATGCGTCTCGCAGGTTGGGGTCGCGCAGAAGGTCTCGTACAAAAACTAAGCGTCAAGTAATTGCATTAGCGGTTATGCTTGTCTCGATTGATCATCGATCAAATTTTGAGGCTTGTTCTGAGGGAAATCGTGGAGACCTACTATCTGCAATCCAGCCGGTGGCTATGTTTATTTGAAGTCTTGTCAGCTTAGAATGCCTCTGTGGTGTGTACAAGGGTGGATGGAAAACATACCCATAATACCCCACCGGATATTGTACGGAGCCATGGTGACGTCGGAGGATGGACAAAAGGCAGTCGAACTATACAGCAGAGAAGGATGGCGTCAAACTGAGACAGAGAACTTGGGAGCAGGACTTGTATTTATAAGAACACATAGTTCATCTGGGCTTCTAGACTACTCCAACTATGATTATCAATAATAATAGAGGGTCCTCGCCGGAGAGCGGGGCAGGTCCAACGGCATTCATTATCCAGCTTCCTCATCCAGGATTACAAGGGGAAAATAACCCGTGTGGTACAAGATTCAGCTGCCTTTCTCGGATTAAATACTTGTTTATAGAATGTTCTATGAAGAATTGTATGGAATACATGTACGGCAATGCCCGTAGATAATCAAAAAAAAACCCCAATCCTCTCAAAAATAGTGCGGGGTCTCGAATGCAGTACAGCCGCCGGCTAAATGCAACCACCAAAAAGAGTAGAATGATGTCAACTCCAACGTATGCATGTCGTCCCCTGGTCTCCAAAGCAGAAAGTAAGGACGGTGTATCGAAGTTGAATGAAAGAGCGCAAGTACCACTTTCTTCACACAGGTTCCATCTTGACCCGAACATTTGACCCGGGAGAGTCAGTGCCCTGTATGGTGAATTAGTTTGATACGTGCGAACTTTCTGCCATGGTGGATCGAACATACCTCTGCCTTCCTCTTGCCCAACACGGAATCCGGTGTTCCAGTCCGTGCCGAAGGCGTGCCCCGACCTGCAGCCGTAGTCGTCCCGTCCTTTGTAACTTCCGCATAGCAGCTGGCGTGGTATATCCGGTTCCCAACCTTGACGGCATCCTGCCATATCCAGTCTTGGACTTCCTCCGACCACGTCGACTCAAACGTCTCTTGACAAATGGGACAGGGCGTGTTGCGCAAAGTAGCATCATTGGGAGCCCGGATCCATTGCTTGGGCGGGCCTTTCTTGGTTGAATCACTCTCAGCACCAGCAGCACCGGCACTTGTAGCTTCCGCTTCTGCAGGATCCTCATCGTCTCCGGCTTCGCGGGATTTTATCCAATCCTGCCCAGTCGTTAGTAAGAATCACTAGGATATGAATTTTGGACAAAGAGAAATCCACTCACCCGTTCGTCAACGTACCAGCTGCGGTTTTGCGCTCGCTTGGCAGCGTCCGCCATCCGTTGGTTGGTCCGAAAGTGCCAGTCCAGATGGCGGGCTTTCTTTTCTTTTCCTTCTTCTGTTGCAAAGAATCGACGGCCACAGGTCCCACAACGGTTAGATCTCGCTTCGTAGAGGCTGGCTATTAGTGCCTCTCGAGGTCTGCGTCCTATTAGCATACGAAACAGCAGCGAACATTACAAGTACAAATTTTGTGCAAACTTACATTTTAATGGATGCCGTGTTCATTTGCACGTTGATAGTAATGCTCGAGGGATTAGAAGCCTGAGGCACAGTAGGCACTGGAGTTGAAAATCGCACCTGACCAGGTACAATAAAGGGAAAGGCAGAGACAAGATTGGACGGTGGGGCGGTGGTAGGGGCAGGAGGTGCGGAAGCGGGAGGCAAGAGGCCACGCGCTCGTAGAGCTGCAATTAATGGGTTCTCGGCCGTCGGCATGGCCGCCGGCTGTGGTGTGCTGCTAGCTAGTGGCATTTGCGGAAGAATGCTGTGGACTTGGGGTGGTGGGGTGGGTTGCTGGCGTGCAGCAGTTGCTTTGATAAGCTCAGCTAATGTTCCCGGGTTGAGGAGCTGCTGAAGAGGCTGTGAAAGGGTCTGAGTTGGGGGAGTGGCCATGCTGGGCGTTGGCATAGCTGGAATGGTTGGCGGAACGCTCTGGGGAACTGAAAGAGCAGACTTTGGAGTGAGTGCAGAGACCTGGTCACGGACCAGCCTCAGCTGCTCCTGAGTGAGCTCTTGACGCTGGAGAATGCCTTGCAAGTCTAATAGAGCTTTGAGACGCTGTTGCACAGAAGGGTCAAGAGGGTTGTTGGCGAAATCGTTTCGGGCAGCTGCAATCAATGCCTCGATATCGCGATTCAATGCCGTGAGATCCACTTCCGAGAGCTGCGAAGGTTGAGGGGTTGGAGTAGACCGAGGGTCCAGCTGTCTATCCGTTAGATATGACAAAGGCATCCAAGACAATCATTTTGCGACTTGCATGGGTCTTACCGCGGCGTGATAATTTTGCGTGTGCCCGTTTCGAACCTGATGAGCATGCCCATTCTGACTTGTGGAAGGCGCGAGCCGAGCCGCACTCTGGTTGAGCGTGGTATTGTTCGTCCAGCCATGAGGAGGAGTGCCCACCCGGCCGCGGTTAAGTATATCTTGCTGGCTCCTGGCCTGCTGCTGCTGTAGAGCCGCGGTTCTTGCCTTGATCAGAGCGCTTTCAATGCTGCGTGTAATTTCCGGAGGAAAGACGGGTCTTGTATCTAGTGACCCCGGAACAGGTTCCTTCCATGTCTTGAGCATTTCGTCCAGCTTTCTGCGGGTCTGCGAGTCCACCAACGTGTAGGCATTCATGAAAGTCTGATACATATTGCGACCCAGGAAAAGTGTGTAGGGAGTTCCCACATTCTTCACAATGGAGTCGACTACATACAAGGCAGGAAGCTTCTGAGCTGGCGGTGTCTACAGCACACGATTAGAAGTGGTTCAACCGATCAAACTTACAATCAACTGAGCGCCGAGCGAGATACAAAAGCCAAGGAGGAATGCATGAGAGTGAGAAACAAAGATAACACCTACTGTTCGAATGTGATTCTCCAAAACTCGGGAGATGGCCATAGCATGTTCTGTATTCTCTTTGGCTATGACGGTCAAGTTGCTGATCTGGAACCTGTCATTCGTGGTTAGATCCTCCAGAGAGTTCTTGTAATCCTCAGCGACCTCATCAGAGGCGAGCCCAGACGACATGACAGGCAAGTATGCTGTGAGGTAACGTGTTCGTGGGCAAGGAGAGAATGAAGGCGAGGGAGAAAGGGAACAAAGGAAATGGTCAAGTGAATGTAGCAACACTCAGGGATATTGGGATGTTTTCTTTCCCTCCTTCTATCTGTTTCTGGTTTTTCTTTCTTTTTTTCCTTCTTGGCTGCTTCTTTTCTTTCTTCTCTTGTTAAGTAGTGATGTTCCTTTTTTCGTTCTCAGGTGCTTTCTGCACAGTATGTTCTTTTTCCTCTTTGTCCCCGTCTCTTTCTCTTGTGTTTCTCAAGTTGGTTTCTTATGAAGATAGGTTTCTTATTCTCTCCTCCGGTGTTTTTCCAGAACTGTGATCTCCTGAAAGAGCAAGAGATGGAAGAAAAGTCGAAACTTGTAAAATGCTTGCTAGCTATCTTGGCGAGACTTTGGAGATAACAACGAGACGAAGCAGGCGCCAGTCCTCAACCTAAACCACACAGAAGCCCACGACTATCCTTCTATGCCCACTATAAGAAACTACCTCGTAAATTATCTCGCCCGATTGACCCTTCCAGGGGTGTTAACCAGCAAAGGCACGCAAACGGTACGAAGATGACAGTGAGGGAATCTGAGGGTGTTTTCCACGCTTGGGATGAAGTTCGGAGAACGCAACACCTTGAGATCCAACACAAACGGCAGAGATGGAATTGGGAGATAGTATCAAAAAGAAAAGCTGGCGAGAGACTTTTAAAAAAGAGTCAAAGAGGAAATAGGGAACAACGGAGGTTGATTGTGATTATTATGAGGTATTATTGAGGAGGAGGAAGTGAAGTGAAGGTTGAAGAATGACCAACGGACGCCAAGACTTTGGCTGGTTTGTCTGGCTTAGTCACCTTCCCCATGACGCAGTGCCACCGTATCGTACTCCTATGATAGAGGAGGCGGATATCCCTACAGACTATATCGTCTTCGAGATAAATCACCGTGAATACTGATCATCTTTGTGTATAAGGAGATAGTACTTTTTCAAAGTGGTCGTGCCATTTTGAACCATACTCACATAACAATGAAACTATCATCTGCCCTCATTATCGGATTTCTTCCTCTGGCTCTAGCCAAGTCGATTCTGGTCACTTACCCTCAGGACACCCCGGACTCGGTCATCAAGGACGCGCAGAAATCCATCGTGCAAGGCGTATGTTGTTCTGTTGAAGATATGCGCTCCTTATAATTATGATTTACTGATCTACTTTTCACTCCAGGGTGGTAGAATCACTCATGAGTACCGTAAGTGCTGCCATTCCGCTGTTGAAACATAGTTGGATTGTTCGGAGTGCTGATACATCTCTTCTTCAGAATTCATCAAGTAACTTCTCTCCCTCCCTAACTTTCATCTTGCTGGAATCACATTTGACACCTTATCAGGGGATTCTCTGCGGAGGCTCCAGACGCTGCCATTCAGAGTCTTTCCACACAGTCCACCAAATATAAACCAAATATCGAAGGAGATCAGGTGGTCTCGATCTCCGATGATAAAGATTGCAACGGCAATTAATTTCAGCTGTCCTGAGGCAGTCATCGCCTTCTGAATGACTGGGAACCCCAAGCTGCTCATGATTAATGATTTCTGGAACACTTCTCACTGACTCTGCCCTTGAATATATGGATAATGAATTGATACTATCTGCTCTCTTTCTTTCTTGTGACAAGCAGTATTTTAACGTTGTTATTCATTATGATGTATTTCCAATCTGTATCATTCTGTATCGTTCTCATGAAAGAAAGGAGAATACTTTTAGAGACAAAAAACAAAGACATTATTTGCAATAGCCTTTGTTCATCAGAATAATTCGGTGCTGATTCTGTGATTCTGCGACATCGTCAGAATAGATAAAGACGCTCTCTCGACTGCGGCCGAGTAGGAGGTGCGCGTGGAGCCCGCTGTGAAACTCCCCCGAACTCGCGAGGCTCAGGAGAGACAACAACCGAATCTAACAACTATTTAAGCAATTCTCCAGTCCTGCATTGCTTTTAAAGAGATGAAATTATCTCTGCAACCGGAAGGACAGTTATCACCACCCCTAGCATCATTCAGCTCCTACACATTCCTAAGATTCCCAGGGCGCGACGCATCCCCTCCCTCCCAACATGGCGTCGGAACACACGATTACTCAAGCCCTTTTAGAATGGATCAACAGTTTCTCTCTCGGCAAAACGCTACGATCTACTGAGGAATTAAGCGACGGCACGATACTTTGGGAAATCCTGCAGGATATTGACCCTCAGTACTTTCTCAACGAATTGCCCGAGCGGAATACGTCTGATCACTGGGTTGCGAAACTGGCCAACCTGAAACATGTCCACAAGCATCTGACCGGTTATCTGCGAATGCAAACTGGCAATCTGCCCTCTGGTTTGGACCCGTCTCCGGATCTTCAAGCTATTGCGGAAAAGAACTCGGTGAAGGAAACCAACAAGCTCCTGAAACTGCTCCTGATCGCCGTCATTCGCTCGCCAAATCCAGAGAGATTCGTCAACCAAATCCAGGATTTGAGCCTACAGGCGCAGGAAGGGCTCAAGATCGCAATCGAGGAGTCAAACGGGGAATTGGTCTCAAGTGATGTCGAGGATGAAACCATCGAAGACACCAAGAAACAGGACCTTCCGGTCGATCTCGAGCTACAATTCGAAGAACGAGTGGGAAAGGTGATTGCGGAGAATGATCGCTTGACGCATGAAAAGAAGGAGTTGGAGAAAGCGCTGGAAGATCTACACAACCGCCTGGCGCGCCTCCAGGAAAACAATGACACTCTGCAGAGCCGTCTTGCTTCAACGGAGGATCGCTTGGTGACGCTGAAGTCTGGAAAAGGCGACATCGGGGTCAGTGCAAAGGCATTGGAGTCAAAGACGCGTCAGCAGGAGGATTTGATCGCATCCCAGGAGGAGAGAATCGCCGCAGCGCAGGATGAGATTGATAGCTTGCGCATGACGGTGGAGTCATTACATGTCAAGAATCAGCGCTTCCAGAAATTACAAGATGACTATGATGAGCTCAAGACCGACAGGGATCAGCTTGCGCGAAAAGCCAATGCAGCGGAAAAGTACCGCCAAAAGCTACAGGCCAGTCAGGATTTTGAGAAAGAGAACCAGAGTCTGAAGAACCAGATCAAAGATCTCCAGCAGCAACTAAAGGACGCGGACTCGCAGCAGAGATGGTCAGCGGAGCGTGAAGTGGAACTTGAGGAATATCGCCGAGTCCTTCCACGCATCGAGCAGGAATGCAGCGAGACCCAGAACCTGAAAAAGCAGCTTGAATTCAACAATCATGCTCTTACCGAACGCCTCAGTAGTGCCGAAGAACAGCGCGAGAGAGATGATGCGCTGATTAGTGAACTGAGAGAACGGATCCGCGAGCTTGAGGGCTCGCCCGGAAGCCCATCGCTCACTCCAGGCACCGAGACACCAAAGCGAGGCACATTGCACGAAGACTTTGAGGGCATAGGTATCCAGGAATCGCAACTGTCAGTCCTTCCCACTATATTTGAAGAGGCTGAGCTGACCGACAGTAGTAAAGCGGAAAATGACGAGCTGCGCAAGGAGGTTGAGTCGCTAAAGGAACAGCCCTCTGTAAGTTGGCTCGAGGAGGAATTAGGAAAGTTCGCTGCGTACGATGCTGACGACAAATCCCAGATCGGTTCCCAATTTGAGGGATTCTCGGAGAATTTCTCACATATTCACCGGCTCGCTCAGACCAATTCGTCGCAAGGGTATGTGATTGAACCTCTTTTCTCGCCACGTACTCACGGAACATTCAGTGACGAGTATTGGAAATTATACGATCACTACACGCAAGCACTTGGAAAACTTGCCGACGCTCAAGATTCTCTCGAAATTACCAAGAGGGCCCTGACCGACGCCATGGCTGAGGGTGAGTTGTTCATTTACTCTACGTACAAAACGTCTCGACAATCTGCTTATGAAACTGCAGTTGGACTTGCCGGCAAGGAGAAAGTAGACATGATTCACGAAGTCAAGGAGAGCAACTCAGCCGAAGTCGCCAAACTTCGTGCTGAATGGGATGAGTGTCAGCATAGGATACATTTGCTCGAGGCTGAGCTTGACGCTAGTCAAGAGCTGGTCCGCGAAGTGTGTGCTGAACGAGATGAGCTGCGCAGCTTGTTCGACAAAAAGCAAGTTGAAATTCACGCGGAGGATCAGGAAATGTCCAACGAGATGAAGCGGCTGCTGGCGGAATTGATGGCCCAGGAGAACGGTGATTCTGCAGATGCTTCTCAGAAATCTGGTCCCGAGCTCGCCAAAGAAGTCGCTGAGCTGATTGAGAAGTACCTTGAAAAGCTTGCGAAGCGCGCAGAGGTCAGTAGATTCCCCCCAGTCCCTTCCAGTGGCGCCGGATCCACACATTCTGGGAAAGTCTTCTCGGAAAGTTCATTTACCGCTGCTGTAAATGCTGAGTTGCGCGCTCAGCCACGGCGCGTACCTGACTTCGAGGCAAAGTATACCATTAGGGAGAATCCTACGAAGCCACTCAAGCGAGTTGTACAATCATTGCGCTTTGAAAAGCTTTATGTCGAGATTCAAGCGCTCCTAACTGGCCTGGCCGCTGCATTTCTCTGGCATTTCTACGCCCAAAGATGACTAATACGATCTGTGATTTAGTACATTCACCATCAGAATGAGCACATTAAATTCCTGCAAGAGCGCATCAAGCATTTTGAAGAAGACAATGCCGTTGATGGTATTAGCAGGGAGCGCGAGGTAAGCGATAAACCTTTCTTTCCGTTGTTTTTGCCGCGATTCTACACATCAGGATAAACGGACTGGGCTTCCTCTCCCTGTCGTCCTTCTTTACTGACAGCTGATCTGTCGTCCAGCTCGAACTTCAGGAGGTCATCGACAACCAGGCACGCGAATTGGCTCTTATCAGCTCTGCCTGGTATGATCTCCAAGGTCGTCTACAAAACAACAATGTCACAGTGTCGAGATTCCGCAACGGAGCCAACATGAGCGAATTGCAGAAGGGCTGGTTGGGGAGACAAAGAAGTCTGGTAGCAGGTCGCTAGGATCGCTCTGTCTTGTAAGTTAAGGGAGTTGGTTTTCTTCATTGTCTTTCGCTTGCTCTTTTATTCCGTCACCTTCCTTATTTCCTTTGTTAAGCCAAGACTATATAGAGACACAGTGTTAGACACGCACATGTTATTGCTTGATACCCAGTCCCCAGTTAAATATTAATATCAGCCGAATCTCAACAAATGAGATCGCTGTCATGTGACCCCTATATTTTGAGCGCCTGAACCGTGGTGTATATTACAGAAAGAGAACCAAATTATACATCTTTTATCTTGCACAAAATCACTATGGGTGGATCAGTAGACTGCAACTCAGTGTATCAAACCCATTGCCTGGGATGTCTCAGAACCTCCATCATCTCTTTTTCGGCTGCCTTCTCCCGGGTCAGAAGCTCTTCCTCTTCCGACACGGGACCCTCGGTACGTGTTCCAGATACCGGGTCCGTATATGCCCATGATGCAGTGCGAGGCAAGCTCATCAAGATACTTTCGACACGAGCGTTGGGTGTGCGTAAACCAAAGCTTGTTCCGCGGTCATAGACAAGATTGAATTCGACATAGCGGCCACGCCGAAGCTGTTGCCATTCCTTCTGGGCGGGAGTGAAGGGCATATCCTTGCGCTTTTCGATGATGGGGACGTAGGAGGGTAGGAATGATGCGAGAGCATCTGAAACGAACGAGAAGAGAGTCTCCTGAGGGTTCTGGGAAGAAGTAGAAGAGGATTCAAGGAAACTGGCGTCAAGGTCATCAAAGAAGATACCGCCAACACCACGAGCCTCGCCGCGATGAGGCAAGTGGAAGTATTTGTCACACCATGCTTTGAATTTGGGATAGTATGTCGCATCATGTCTATCACAGGCGTCCTTGATGGTCTGATGGAAGTGCTTGACGTCTTCAGGGAAAAGGTATGACGGTGTTAAATCCGTGCCGCCGCCAAACCACCAGTTTTTGTCACCATGGATAGGGTCCTTTGGATCTGAGGTCTCGAAATATCTGTAGTTCAGGTGCACTGTCGGAGCCATGGGGTTGTGGGGGTGCAGAACCAGTGAGAGACCAGCAGCAAAGAAGCTCAGAGAGTCAACGTCCGCGCCGACAAATGACTTGTGATCCGCTCGCATTTTCTCGATGGCGGGGCGAGGTAATTCACCATAGACGACGGAAACATTGACACCGGCTTTCTCAAAGACATTTCCGTCCTGCAAGACACATGAAATACCGCCTCCGCCATTAGGGCGTGTCCACGTATCGGTCTTGAACATCTTCCCATCTATCCTGCTGAGTTCATTCACAATCTTCTGCTGATGTTCTTTGATCAATTTCTCCATTCGCAGACGCATAGGCGAGTTCTCGCCAATTGTCGACTGTTTTTTTAGGGTTTCATCGAGCTCCACGATGGACGGAGAGTCGAGGTCCGTCACTTCGCCGGTCATCTGCCAAGTCATATTTAGACAATGTTATCGAATGGGGT